CAGCAGGGCGAGGATGGGCGAACTTTCCAGGACGGTCTCCCGGAGAGTTCGCCCCGAACCTGGCGTAGGGAGAGAGGCAGACAGCGGTTTGCTCAGTTCCTGCGTTGTTGCCATGTTTGGTGCCACCACGATGCCACCGCTCTGGTTGCTGGGGTAGCTGGCTTGGGCTCCCCCCCGCCCAGCCCATTGTCTTTTTTCTCCTTTGTTGCCACTTTTCCACAGCTTATTGTTTCCCGTCTGTGCTGCTGGCAGAGAAGACTCACCAGAGCAGACCCCAGCCACTTGCAAGGCCACAGAAGGACCAGGACAAGCTTGCCACGGAGGCTGACTGGTGTGGTGCATTTAGGAAAGGATCAGGCCCTGCGGATCCACCCCGAGTGCCTCCTGCTGTGCGTGCCGAGAGGATTAAAGATATCTGCCCCTCTCCCCGCCATCACTCCTGCTCAATGTGGCATGCAAGTTCTCAGGCGTGTGGGGGGAAACAGCTGCACATCAGGACAAGCCCCAGCCCACATCTGGCTCTGGCTCCTCCTGTGCAGGAGAGCAGCGTCCCTTTCACCCTGCAGACGCTGCCTCCACCCAAGCAGACGGAGAGGGGGAGAGAAAAGAGAAAGACCAGACCCATGCCTCCACCTCGACAAAGGCACCTGAATTAGCGAGTTAGTCTAGGGCTTGTCTCAAATAGATCTGATCCTGCCACGGGGGGCCTAAGCTCTGATCAGTAATTCCCTACTTCCAGCCCTTTTCTATTCCGCATCTTCAGTGCCAAAACAAGTAACACCACATTTACCGCTGGCCCGTGACCAGCTCCCTGACCCCCAGCTCTTCTCAGAGCCTGCACAAGGCACACCATTCCTCCAGCCACGCTGGGAGCATCCTCACCTCAGCAGGACTGGTCGTCCAGGGCACCCCACAGCAGGATCGAGTGCACCAACTTCTTTTCTGCTTTTGCTCTCTCGAAAGCTTGCGTGAAGGGAAGATAGGAGACCTGGAGGCAGAGAGACGGCTTGAGAAACAGACACAGAACAGCCCGTCTCAAATACGAGCAGGGTCTGAAGGAACCAGACCTGTGCACGCCACAGGTGACACACACAGAGTTTAGTCTGCAGTAGATCCTGCAGATTAAAGCAAATGACAACTGTGGTGCTCTTCCCCAGGGCCAACTTCATCTCCCAGCGAGATCGTAGCGAGCCCCTCGCAGCACGTGGGCTGGCAGCGGCACCAGCGGAGCCCCATCTTTACACGCTGCAGAGAGCATCTGCGCAACTGCGGGCAGGCTGTCTGCAGCGCACCTCAGCAGCCTGGGAAATCTGGCCTGGAGATATTTATTACAAAACCTCACTGAAACGGCCTAACAACTGGCTGTGAGGGACCCTGCACAGAGATTGTTCCAATCGCTCAAATGAAGGGAACTTTATTAACATCTTGGCAGCTCAAAGGGACATTTGTAAGCTCAGGCACAAGGAGGCAGCCATTGAAACGTGTCCCTTCAGCCAAGTGACAGGCAGTAGCCATCTGCTCCACAGGCTACTGGCATGTTATATAGTTTGGGTCACCCAATGCTATAAATTTGTGTCTCACTGCGGGATGCAGAGGCACAGGCGGATTGTGTGTTTTCTGCTGATAAGGAAAGCTGGTCCAAAGGTAGCTGAACGCTGCAAAAGTAACGCCAGAGGAAAACCATTTGTCAGCGGCGCGATTACCTGCTTCACTCAGAAATCGCGTCGGCAGCTACTGATAAGAGGAAGGAAGGATGAGCCTACATTTCCAATACAAGCCTGGGACGCATGACATCTAGGCTTTGCTCCTGCCTGTGCTGCGGCGCGACCCTGAGTGGCCTTTCAGAGATGCTGTACTCCCTCATCTGGAAACTGGAAGTCCACCAAGCCACACACCCAGAGCCTGGGAGGCAGGCGCTGAGCTGGGAGACCCTCACACGCCTCTGAATGCTGATCAGGTCGTGGCCTCTGGTTTCTGCCGGTCCTCGAGGTGACTGGACATCTCGGTGAAGATGACCTGCCCCAAATAAACATGCCAAGGAAGAGCTCGGCCCTTTCCTCACCTTCTTAAATGGGTACATGGCCACTTCCAGCTTCTGGGCTGCCTCTTCCCAGGGGATTTCCTGCTGCCAGGTTATCTCTTCGAACACAAACTGAATGGGCTCCCCTGAGGGATCCCTGCTGTCAATCACATTTCCGTTCTCGTCGTGGATCACAGAGGGGATTGAAGGCCCTGTCGATTCCAGCTCCATCTGCAGGAGAACAGGCTGAGTTGGACACTGCACACATCCACTCCTGGTTTTTCTGTACTCCAGGACAGGATAAAGATGCAAAATAAGACTGTGCAGCTTCTAATGAAGATACAGCTTGATCTATTGTCTCCTGGAGCTGCGCTTTACCAGTTGCAAATGTCTTTTATTGGGGAATAGCAGGAAAGCAACTTCATTTCCTTCAGTTATTGTCTGACTGTGCTCACTAGATTGGAAATGCACGAGACCTGTTCACTCCATGTTCCCACCTTCCCAGTGGACATTTTTGACTGTGGGACACCAGATCCGTAAAATCGCTGGGACCTGCAGGGCTAGTTTGAAGCCAGCACAGCCCTTCCGCAGCCTGTGGCTAGCCACAAGAGGGTGCCACAGGGAAAGCTCTTCAGGAGCTTCCCT